CTTTCCCTTAAGACTTACCAAACTAAATCTTACTTAAAGAAGCAGTATTCTTCTCAGATCATCAAACCCGCCACAGAGTACTGTGTTCTGAATGCAAGCTGAATTTGCAAGAGAAAAGGTAGCTATCTGCAATTAAATGGAAATTTTGAGGGAAACGCCGCACTCCAGAGAGCAGACACTGCATTATCTCCTAGCCCAGCAAGCGACCGCACAGTCGGCCATCTCCACAGCAGAGCAGCTAATTTGTCATGTTGATGACATGAAGGAAAATTTGTCGTTAAACTTCTTTTTTTCGCATATTATTTTCTGTCCCTGGTTCTGACTCTAAAGCTTAAGGGATAATAAAATTGTCAAATCCTGCAAATGACAGGTCAAAATCCATCTGCTTCCACCTTTTTTTCCTTTTTCTTGTACAAGTATTAACTGAAGCAGTTACCTCTAGCAGAGAGGCTGTTAATTAATATCAGTGCAGATATTACATACAGAACTTTGCTCCTGTGGGATTAGTAAAGTCTGGAGTATTTAAAATTTTAAGCAAGACAATCTTAAGTCACATGACCATCTAACCCAAATCTACATATCCTGCATTTGGCAGTTGTTAAAAGAGTTGGTCTTGCAGAATTGTATTGGCTAGACTAAGGCACACACTCCTTTTCTTAAAACAGAAATAAAAAGCACAGGCCAAGTAAAATTATTTAGAATATTATGGCAACTAGTGGACTATAATGAAGCTAACCACTAATACACTGACACTTACCTGCATAATAGTTTCTGTGCCATTAAACAATGCTGTCACACACCTTTTTTCACAAAATACCATCTTTACCAGCTTTACATATATTTTTCCACACTCACATTTTCTTTGAAAGGGATGTTGTGATGACAGCATGAATAGACAAGCCCTTTTAATACCCTCATCAAGACAAGTGTAACTTAAACTCAAATTTTCATATTAGTGGTTTCTAAGATAATGAGATGAAAACTGGTCATATTTTCCCTATGAAACTGACCTGTTCAACACAACCACGGCTGACATTTCATACAGAGTTAGTCATTTATTAACAATGGAGCATAACCCAAGCAATACTGAAGAACGCTTTACTTCATAGCAATTTTTTAAAAAGTATCTTTTCTTTTTTCCCTTAAAAGAAGAAAAATTTGTTAACATTAATTACAACTAACATGGAGCATTAACTCCACCATTTAGTAGAAACTACGTGTGATCTATGAATGTATGACTGCACAATTACTTATTCTGGAAAAGCAACACTGCAGTATCTATACAGCAACTAAACTGTTTGCTGGGAGGAAAATGTGTATCCACTTCCAGAAATCGATTAAAGTAACTGATCAAAATTCACAGGATTAGTAAGAACTGCTTAGTAGTTCTTTCTAGTTACAGCATTTTATTAAATCAGTAGTAATGTGGAAATAAAATATTTAACTATTAGCTATTTAACTATATTTAACTATTATTTTTATTGATGTCAAAATCTTAACAAAGAAAAATGAACAGCCAGAAAATGATTACCAAGAATGCTTTTGAGTGGCAAAGTATTTTCCTTGTCTCTGTATGATGCTGAGCTAGCATCGTATTTAATTCCTGGAGGACATGCAATGTTTTATTCTTTAATATAAATATCAAAACAGAACAGCTCCTCTGCTGGTGACTGATCTACAGAAGTTTTTCCATCTCTTCCCTGTATCTGACTTTGTTTACTTGTTTAGCCTT